ACCTGGCACGTAACTCGGGGATGTGTTGGCATTTATTAATTTGCAAACATACCACGCAGCATATGGGCCATTCATCTTTGATAAAGCGTTTAGGGAGCCGTCTTATTTCAGAGCTTATCTGTAAGGGAAGAAGGTGGTCTCCCGGACCCTTTGACACAAATACTCTGCCAGGTTGTCTGGTATACAGAGATCAGCTTGCTGAGACGGTGCGACTTTCGCCGAAATGACACAACCCTGTTAACGGTGGGCTCTGGCGGCAGAGTGAGGCTGGACTCACTTCTGTGACGTTACCAGCAGTGTGGCCTCTGACAAGCTAATTAACCTACTACTGCCACCACAGCTACCGCCACCGGTTCAACTACCACCGTGAGCACCATGACCACCATTGTGGGGTGACTCTACAATTCATCTATGAAAATGAGTTTTACTGTGGCTCACAGAGCTGTGAAAAGATGCCTGACTTATTTACCTTTTAAAAAAGGCATTCTATAAGTGAGACATTACAGCATTTCTTTACATAGTGAGCCTACTATATTTACAATGTAACTCACTTTCCCAAAATTAAATTTACACAAAACATTTGAGGAATATAATTTTTACAAGAACTGAGGCAAATCTGTGTCACAGGGTAGCCCTGCATTTACTTTTGCAGAGTGAATGAAACAGCACGTATCTGGCCATGCACAGATCATAAAGCTGACAGAATCAAAGTGACCTCCTGAGGTTTCAAACTGGATAAGAATGTGGTTTTCACTGCTCTTCAGCCCCATGACCCATTTGAGATCGTTTTTCTTACGCCCAAATAACACAGTGAGTGTTGAGTGAGTCCTTCGGAGTTAGATTATCTCCGTGTTTGTCTGCAAATGCTACCTCGCCTTCGTTTTTGAAGGATACTTGTTCTCAATATCAGATCGTAAGTTGACATTGTTTTTCTATTGGCATTTTAAAGATGTCATTTCATTGTTTTTCTTTTTTTTTTTGTCTTCTGAGAATCAATTATCAGTCTGATTTAGCTCTTTTGAAGTGAATTTGTCTTTCCTTTCCTGACTGCTTTTAAGATTTTTTTTCATCCCTGTTTTTCAGCAATTTAACCACTGGGATGAGAAATAAAAAAAAAAATCTTGGCGTATAATGTGCTTTTCAAATTTGCATTTGGATGCTTTTTGTCTTGATCTTAATGATCATTAATTTCAGAAATTTCTCCTGAATTAAAGAATGGATGCTCCATAGAAGTTTCTTCAACTTAGTGTGACAATATTTTGAAAATCTGGACACATAAAAAATATGGACATAAATGGCCACAGATACTTTGAAAGCCAAAAATAGGTAGCATTGGGCAAAATGTATAAGCTAGTCTTGGTACACATTTCAGTAAGTATCAAACTTCTTTCTGACAAATGGGGTTGCTGTGAAACCCAGGCACCTGAAGGGCTGCCCATTTTCACCGCCTAGGGGAAGTGTGTGCTTCGGGAAGCCAGCCGGTGCTCGCCTCAATTTCATCGCCAGACCACAGTGCTACTTCATCACGTGAACATAAACTTAACTCATGGTTAAACAATCAGTTCTCTGGGTTCATCTCTCAGATTTCATGTTCGTTGCCAAGACCTTGAGGTGGGCTGTAAAAATAATCAGTTTTATCTTCAGTGTGGACTAAGAAATTAATCATTGACAAGCATATCTATTAAATATGCTGTTAACACAAACAATGAATTTATCCTACCCAGATTTTTTCCCCTTTGTTGTTGGTTTTTTTTTCTTGATGAAGAGAAATAAAGATTTAGCCTTGATGCTGAAAGCTCGAAGAAACATATATCCTCAGCTTAGCAGAACAAGGCTGTCAAAATGGCTATTTCATCTCACTTTTTTTCTAAAAGGATGATTATTCAGGCCATAGCTTTTTATTAATTACTATGCCCATCATTTTTTTTCATCTTACTGAATTCGCTGAGAAAGACCAAGGGCAAACTCCTTTACGTTATCTGTGCTCAGGAAATAACGCAACTTTTGTCGAATGATTCGGAGTTCAAGACAGCCAGGAAATGAGCTTCTTCTGGTCCTGAAGTTGTGCCATAGGTTCAGACTGGCCAGTGCAGAATTTTTCAAGTATATCCTTCAAGAAGGGTACATTACTATGCATCCGATGACTGTGTGGACTAGGGTACTTTTTCAGCTTGGCTGCTTCTTTTTAACTCAGAGCTGATTTGGCCGTATCTAAATTGTAAGGCTTCATTATACTAATACATGAACTTCATCTTCTAAGGCAATACTGCAAGCTGACCTTGAGGGAAGCTTCAGGCAAACTTCATTTGCTTATTTGAGGTGCTTTTTATTATTATCCCTGTGCAAGATCTTGCTCTGTCTTTTGGTGCAAGACATTCTGATGATTTCTTTTCAAAATTTGCATGATTGGTTTTTAAATGTCCATCAAGAACAATGCAAGGGCTGCTTAGGGGTTGCATGCAGTCAAGATACCGAGACTTAGGCTCATTTGTATCTCTAAAATAATAAAAACCGGGTTCCCAATAAGCATGTAAATGGATGCTAAAATATTTAGTCAGACGGCGCTGGCTATGGTGTGGCAGGTGCCGCCTGGGCTGAGGAGTGGACAGGTGCCACCCAGGATGGGAAGCAGACAGGTGTCTCGCAGGCTTGGCCATTATTTGTGCTGCGAAACGATGTCAGGGAGATTTGAATTTCTCTAATTGTGCTTTCTAAAATTCACTGCGTTCACACTTCTGATTGGAAATTCCTGTTTTTATTTATGTTGACATGTTCCCAGATGGACACGTGGTTGAAAATCTGCACTGGGAGACTGGCTGCCGAGGCAGTGACATGCCAGTGCCCAAGGAGGGCAGAACCCGCTCCGTGGACGGTGGCTCGGCAGGACGCGGTCGCAGTGCTCAGCAAGCTTGAATACGCACTTCAGTAGGTGCTGGACACGGGACGAGGATGCCCTAAGGAAAACGCCCAGAGAAAGGGCGAGCCCACGGGCTGCTCACCGGACAGGTGAGAATCCTCTCAGGTTTAACTCAGAAATCTGAGAGCTGCACGGAGGCCTTTGGGGCACCCAGTGCGGGAACATGTGCGTTGAGTTCCAAACCCGTGATTCCAGGTCTTTTCGGGGCTCATCCAGAGCCGTTTTTTCTGTTCAACTGCAGTGAGTAAGGAGCAGTCACCGTTTTAAGAAAACATAGAAGAAAGAGCAAAAGGGAACAGGAAATCAAGAAATAGGTTGAATCTGGGTCCAAAGTGATATTTTACCAGAACCACTGCAAAGATTGACCATTTAAACAAGGCATGGAATTGCGTGGGCTGTGATGGGAAGCACACCTTTAGGCCCTTGCCAGGGGGAGATGACGGCATGGGAGCAGTGGCTGCTCCTCACTTAGCTGCTGCCTCCTTTGGCTAGCCCTGCCTTGCATCGTTAGCGTCTGTGTGATTAGAAACACGGACACCTGCCCTAAGAAACCATACTGCACGACTGGGCGTGGCGGCTCACACCTGTAATGCCCGCACTTCGGGAGGCCGAGGTGGGTGGATTATGAAGTCAAGAGATTGAGACCATCCTGGCGAACATGGTGAAACCCTGTCTTTACTGAAAATACAAACATTAGCCAGGCGTGGTGGTGCATGCCTGTGGTCCCAGCTACTCGGAAGGCTGAGGCAGGAGAATTGCTTGCACCTGGGAGGAGGAGGTTGCGGTGAGCTGAGATGGAGCCACTGCACTCCGGCCTGGGCGACAGAGAGACACCCTGTCTCAATAAATAAATAAACGAATAAATAAACACACAAACAATAGAGATAATAACTTTGTCACTGGCTTGTGTGAGAGCCGAGCAGCGTAGTCAGGTACTTTGCACAAATTATTTCTTCCAGCTCTCACTCCTGCCCCCATCCCCTGAGGACCTGTTTAGCTCCTGATCTTACAATTCAGAGCAGTTTTAGGATCCTGGGAAGAAATCCTAGGACCAATGACTCTCAGCTGCAACAGGAAACAGCTCTTTTATCTTCCTGTTTTCTCTTCCAGGTGATGTGGCTTAAGCCCTAACCCTGCAAAGTCCGCGGCGTCTCTCTCCTTGCTGGCGTAAGGCTTTTCTCTGTTCCCCGATGTCTCTGCCTGATTCTGCACAGAAAGGCCCTTCCGAGAGCGCTCCCACTCAGCAGGGGCTGACTCCAAGGCCGGGTGTTCTGCATGCCCCAGCACGAGGCTGCCAGCGAAGAGGAAACCCTACTCCTTCTCATTGTTCCAGGGAAGCTGCCAAGGTGCCTCAGCGTGAAAGCCTGGGAGTCGCCACAGGTCAGTGTATCCCTCACGAAACCCTCCCGAGACCACTCCCTGCTCTTTCTAGGGCACCTAACAGCTGCCAAGGGACTCTTCATCCTTGTAACTGGCTGCATGCCAGGCAGCCCGGGCAGGCCCCAGGTAACATGGGGAAGTGGAGGCTCAAGCAGGCTTGGGTCTCTGAGGACATCTGGGCTGTGGGGAGCCTTGGTGCTGAGCTGGCCCAGCACTCGCGGAGTCACCTTGCAGCCTCTGGAGGGTGCAGAGGGCCCTGGGTCCCAAAGATCTGCTCCAGCCACGTGGCCCTGGTGTCCCCCTCTCCCTGCCCCTCCTTGCCCACCTGGCTCTTCCTCAGCATTGCCTCCAGTGGGTGGCCAGGAGGGCAGGTGAGGCCTCTCGGAGGAGCCTAGCACAAGCGATTCTGTTTTGGGGGCTACTTCAGACATTGCTGTGAAAACAGCATCGTGACACATTCTGAAAATGGCATTGCGACACAATTGTGAATTCACACCAAGACCTGGGCTATTCCTATATTCAGAGATGCGCTGAAACCTTTTGTCATTTTTCCTTTTTAAAATTGTTGAAATTTGCCCATTAAATCTTAAATTGCCACTAGCCAACATGGATGCAATCTCCTGAGGATGGCGCCGCCGGGCACACCTGCGTCTGGCCTGGTGGTGGGAAGGAGCCCGAGGGACCCCGGGACAGGGGTTCTTACCACTGAGGAGAGGCCGGTTGTGCCGGTAGGGGGTGGGCAGCTGGCCGACGTCCTCCATGCGGTGGCTCATGACGCGTGCCAGGTGGCCCGTGTGGTGCAGGCTGCCCACCACGATGCTCTGCAGGTATACAGGCTCCACGAAGTGGGACAGGAGCGCACCCTGCAGCCCCAGGACGTTCCACCTGTGGGGAGAGCCAGTGGTTAGTGGGGCCCACCCTGGAGCCCAGGACAATTCCAGCTGTGGGGAGAGCCAGAGGTCAGCGGGGCCCACCCGGAGCCCAGGGAGCTGGGTCCTTTCTGCCCCTCTGCGGCCTGGTCTTGAGGACCTGTCATGCTTCCCATCGTGTGGACCTGGGGGGCCTCGCCGGGGGTGCCCAGGCTCAACCCACTGTCACCTGGGACGGGGATCTGAGGGCCCCTGTGCGCTAACAAACACCACTCCCTTTTCTGAAAATGAGTCATTAGGCAGAGTGGAAGCTACTTCTCTCTGGGATGTAGAATTAGATGTTTTAAGAAGGATGCTCTGTCCCGAAAGTGAATCTGAAGTTTTCTTTATATTAGCTGGGAAATACTAGAAATCGAATTTATTTTAGTTTAGGAAAAATACTTTCTACTCCCTTTGTCCTTAGCAGTCGAAATGACCTATTGTGTTGAAATTAAATGACATGAATAAATGACCTTGCTTTGGTCTGGGGATGATTTGGTTTTGGAAGCCCGGATTGGAGATGAACGACAAGTCCATTTTGTTTGAAATAAATATAGCTCTGGGTGAATGTTTTTGCTTCTTCGAGCAAAAATACTAAGAGCACTGGGATTTTTCCCCGTTAAAGTTGGGTGGCAAGAGGTTCCATGCATGTGTTATTCAAGGCGACGTTCTGTGGTCTCCACTCTAATGTGCCTAAAATCCCACCTCCACCAGTAGCAAGCATTCTGCAGCCAATTTCTTACATCATTGTTCTTTTCATTAATTAACGTTTCTCCACTGTTAGAGCAATTACTGCAGTCCCTGCATGCAGTGCCTTTTTTCATGATTAATAAGGAGTCATATTTCCATTCCTGAAGCAGTCAATTAACACAGAATTCTTTCCATTAATTACCGATCTACCTGGAGAGTAATCTTCTCGGAGAACCTGTGACACCAATTGCTTTAAAAAGTTCCCTTTAAATTTTATTCCAAAAACACAGGCAATTTAGCCAGCGATATTAATTTGCCTCAGAAGCATCTCTGTGAATGAGAAACATCTTTTAATCTCATGCAAGAAAAGGCAGCCATCTGGCTGGTGGGGATTTGGGGGAGCAGCTCTCCCTCTCTCCCTCCGCAAGTGCAGGTCATTAAAGTAATGTGCTCATCTACATAAAACTCAAATGGAATATAAAAGGTAATATTTATATACAAACAATTTAGTCCTGCAATTTAAACAGTCATTGGTTTTATGAAACATTTACTTCAGTCTATCAGATTTGCATAACTTCATTTAAAAAAATATTGTGGTCATTTCTACTAGTCACGGTGTTTCTCCCAGAAAGCAAGGGAAGGGCTGGCCTCTGGAAACGTGAGGTTCTCCCTGAGGGATGAGCTTGGGAGCTCTGAAGGGGAGGACGAGATGGAGGCCACAGAGCACCTGCCACTGAGAAGCCTTCATTCCACAGCGTGTCTGCCTGGATCTCCAACGGTGGCTCTTCAGAGTCAATTTTTTCTTTGATGTTCACTGATAAGTCAGAGCATGTCAACAAAACCTGGGAAAGGAGACTTTGTAACTGAGCTTTTCCTTTGGTGTTTTATGTTTTTTGTTTTGTTTTGTTTTTAAATAGAGACATGGTTTTGCTGTATTGCCCAGGTCACTCCTGGGCTCAAGTGATCCTCCTGCCTCAGCCTCCTCAAGTGCTGGGATTACAAGAGTGAGCCACTGCACCCAGTGTTTTCTGGTTTTTTTAGACAGGGTCTCACTCTGTCATCCAGGCTGGAGTATGCTGGTGCAAGTCGTGCAGTCATAGCTCACTGCAGCCTAATTATTTTGTATTTTTCATAGAGGCAGAGTCTTGCTATGTTGCCCAGGCTGGTCTCAAACTCCTGGGCTCAAGCGATCCACCCACCTTGGCCTCCCACAGTGCTGGGATCACAGGCGTGAGTCACCATGTCCGGCCAATGCCAATGTTTTTGAGGAGTGGTTGAGGGATTTGGCTTGTTCCCTTGAATCTGAGACCAGAGGACAGACCAAAAGCTGGGGGGAAATTCAGCAGCATGGCCCTCCTTGGGGTGTGAGATGCCGGAAAACAAGGCCCCAGAAAGGACCCCGTGTGGGGCCCAGGGCTCCAGTTACGTGGTCCTACTGTGCCTGTTAATTCTCAGACTGTTAGTGCAGTCTTAAAATGTCTTACAAATTAAAGTAGGGAAAGGTATGTTTCCACCATCAGTAACAAAGCACCTTCTTGAAATAAACCATGAGTTAAAAAGTAAAATCAGGATTCCTGGAAGAGACGCCGTGGTGTTAGAGGTAATAGGAGCACCAGCTTTGAACAAAACTTCTGGAACGTACGTGAGTGTCTGTGATGCTGCAGGACACCGGGAAGACAAATAACTTCAATATCAGGTTCCCATCTGATAACCTTTACAATAAAGAGGAAATCAACCTTCTCCTTGCCTGGCTATCAGAGTTTAAACTTATTCAGCTAACACGATCAATAAAACCAAATGTCTTTCTGAGTATGAGCTGGAGAATTTTTAGCATTCAGGATTGAATGGAAAAATACCTCTCCTTTTGTTCAAACAGCTGATATTACCGCACTGTTGACAGAGAAAAAAAAATCCCATGTCTAGTTTTCAGTACAGATAATCCCTAACTAAATGTATTTTTGTCTGTGTGTCAATCACTGAAATACCATAAGTGGGGGAAGATCTTGGAAAAAAAGCTGCCGTTCTTTAGCCAGGAGTGGCAACCTGCTCACTCAGCCCAGGCCGCAGTCTCCTGGCCACAGCGGAAGGAAAGATGGGTCTGCGGTGGGCTGCCGTTGCCTCAGGCTGTCCCTGTAGGTGCGCCGGCCTCAGGCAGGGGACAGGGACCGCCCTCGCCTGTTTGGATGCTTTGGTTTTCCGCCGTGATGTGGCCCTCTGAGATGTAAGTCTAAAGTTACATGAAGCCTGCAGCGAAGTCCTCGGCCACCACCTGGCGTGGCTCTTAGGCCTGCTGCTGGATCGTCTGGGAGCTGTGAGGACCTCCTGAGGCCTGGCTCCCCAAGCGTTCTGGTGTGATTGGGTGGTCAGTGTGGCCGTCAGCTTTCTCGGGGCCACCCATGTGACTCTCATGTGAGCCAGGGTTGGGGACTTCCACAGCAAAGTGGCAGATTCTGGAGCCAACACAGTCAGGTACCATGTAGGTCATGATGCTGGGCAAAGGGGCCTCCCTTGGCCTGTCTCTTGCTCTCTTATCAACTCTCTTCTCAGTGGTCCTCAAAGTGGGGTGCCTGGGCCAGCCACCCAGCGTCACCTGAGAACTTGATAGAAATGTAAATTCCTGGCTGGGCGGGGTGGCTCATGCCTATAATCTAAGCACTTTGGAGGCCAAGGCAGGTGGATCACCTGAGGTTGGGAGTTCAAGACCAGCCTGGCCAACATGGTGAAACCCCGTCTTAAAAAAAAAAAAAAATGTAAATTCCTGGGCTGCACCCTGGAACTGCTGGCTCATGAACTCTGGGGTGGGGCCTGGTGGTGCAAATTCTAACAGCAGCCTCCAGGTGGCTCTGAGGCTGCTCAGTTCAAGAACCACCGTCTCCGTGTTGGTTTTGTGGTCACAGTAGCCGTACCTACCTCTAATGGCATTGCAAGAGCACAGGAGATGATTTAATCTCTGGCTGGTCAGGGGGTGACATTTCCCTTCTGTCACACCCCACCCCCAAACCCCTACCTCACACCTTCTTCCTTCCACATTTTGGCAACACAGGTAATAAGTACAAGATGTTTCTGCATAAATGCCTCATCCCATTTCCAGGCAACTCAGATCTATTCTGGGGCCTAAGTGAAAAATAAGCCAACAGCCTTTTGACTCAATAACATGCCTGCTAGGAATTCACCCAGCATCTGCATCCTCAGTGGACACCTGATGTACGGATGGGGCCAGTCCTGAAGGGGCTGTTTGTAATTGCAAAGCAGACAAAGCATAGCAAAGCAGAAACTGGAAATCACCTATGTGCGTCTTGGCAGGGAACTGGTTAAATAAAGGATGGTGTGTTCGTGATGCCCTGGCCTGCCTGACCATGTGTCCCACACCTCCTGTGCCTCTGCGGCCAGCCTTGCTTGCTGGGACGCCCTTGGGGTCAGGAGGCCACAGCTGCCCGACCTGCGCCTTCTGCTGTGTGGAGACTCTGCCCCTCACGGCTCCTGCCAGCCTTGCCCATCACATCACGTGGGATGCTTGTGATTGCTCTAAAAACACCGGGCTCTCATGCTGTCCTCTCGAGGTCCCTGCCTTGTGTCCAGTGGCATCGTGGTTGCCTCCTGCTGGGCTGCCCCTGCCCCAGACCTTGTGTGCCTGTTGTTTAAATCTCCCGGCATTGCTGAGCACGGGTCTGGTGTGCAGAGGGAGGTGCCTGATGCGTAGGAGGAAGCTGATGGATGGTGCGTCCCTTCAGCAGCTGTGTTGTGTTCAGAGGTGGAAACAATGCTGGGCAACATCCCAGCAAGGCTCTTGTTGACCCCACCCCACAGGCTCTTCCTCCATGTGGCTGTGACCCCCCCAGGGGGGCCTGTACCTGCCTTGAGCCTCTGCAGCTTGGGATGTCTCAGCTCGAGGGTTGGGGTGATGCCGCGTAGAATGGGTCCCCTGACCTCCTGGGTGCTCCCTGAGGCCCCAGCCGCCATTCTGCAGAGACTCCTGAGTCTGTGAAGCAGTGCCAGGGCCTCCACCCACCCCAGCTGACCTGCCAGTAAAGCTGACCTTCGGCCCGGGGGCTGCCTTGCCGGCACCATGTGGGGAGGAAGTGAGCAACCCCTGAGCTCTCAGGGAGGGCCTGGGAGTACACGAGGGGCTTGCCGTTTCAGGGCCACCAAGTTTTGGGGTGGTTCTGGTGTGGCCCACATCACAGCAGGAGACAACCGACGCAGCTGCCCGGGAGCTCACACAGGTCAGGCCACAGGGAAAGGAGAGCAGTGTGCACCCCAGGCTCTGACGTCTGAATGCTCGTGTTCCTGAAAATTCACGTGGAACTCTTATCTCCCAGAGTCTAAGAGTACTCTGGTTGGCCTCTGGTTCTGGGGACAAAGGACAGGTTTCACTCAGCCCAAGGACCTTTGGTTCCTTCTGTTAGGCCAGCGGCTGTGAGATGACACCTGGCGACTTAGGGGCCTCAGCCCGGTGCCTCCGTCTCTGCA